GGCCGCATTCGTGAACACAAAGCGGACCTTAAACACGGTAGGACCAACACCTCGGCCGTGGCAGATCATTGTTATAATTCAGTAGGCTCACATGATATTGACTTTTACAAGACAGAGGTTATTTGTAAGCCATCTGGCTTCCATGAGAGATTCGTTCATGAGGCTATCCACATATACAAGCACAGAGACAATTTCAACCGAGAAGATGGATTCTGGCTTAGCAACCATTGTAAAGATTTGATTAACCATTTCAGGTCTTAATTGATTGTTCACGCTTAGTGGCTTTCAGACATCATACATTAACTTTTCGTCTCCCCCCTCCTCTTTTCAGAACAAAGATGGACTCGTCCTTCTAAATAAACTGCCAAATCGCTGAGCGTGGCGCTGACTTTTTTTTTTAATAAATAAATAAATACACCGTCTAAAAATAAATACATTAATGCGAACCGACACACCTGATGACGACCGTTTGTATCATGGTCGAAACGTCGTGAGAATTTTTATAGTTTTATTTATATTATTTTATTGTTTTTCTTCAACGTGACTTTACCGAAAGATCTAAGAATAAAAAGCTCCAGTAGTCTTTGTCCACTGGCATTTATCTTTCCAATGCCATGATAGCCAAGGCATGCGGGCCACGCGTTGTGGTCAGCCCCAACCCTTGCATTGAAGTCTCCCAACAGAAATATGTGCTCAGAGCTGGGGATTTTGCGAATAATATTGTGAAGCTCTTCATAGAACTGGCCATGAATCTCCGGAGGTGAGTAGAGTGTTGGGGCGTAGACACTCAGGATGTTTACATGGCCAGAAGCAGTGAGCAATCTCATGATTGGAATCCGCTCGGAGCCTGCAGTCGGTGGTTCTATTATGCCAAGGAGTGTTTTTGACGGCGAACCCAACACCGTGTTGCATTGGTTCGTTCTGCTGTTTTCCTTGCTAGTAGAAAGTGTAGTCACTCTCTCGTAGTGAGCCACTGCCAGCAAGCCGGGTCTCCTGCAATGCTGCAATATCGACATGGAGTCTCGCCAACTCTCTGTCGATAACTGCAGTCTTGCGGATGTCCTCAATCTGCAATAGATCTTTAGAGTGTCCAGAACACATTGTACGTACATTCCAGCTTGCAAAATGAAGGGCTGGAACCTTCTTTCGTTTTGTTTTGCTTTTGTCTGGTGCAGGTTTTGCAGCCCACTTGTTTGGTGATGAACCATAAGCTCCAAGCACCCATTGGAGCGGGTGAGCCGTGGCGGGAAAGCACCTTATTGGCCGGGGGCTGCCCAGCTTGAGGTGGGCGGTAGCTATCCATTGGGGTGCAATAACCCCTCCCACCGACGATGGCAACCCGTGGCGCCCATTTTTTACGCCACTCTAAATTGAGCTTATAACCCGTGACTGCTGCCATCCGTGTTTCTTGGCCACGATTAGGTGGCCGAGGAGTGTCCTCTCCCCATTTTTGCACCTCTTGTTGGTGCAAAGCCCGGGCAGGTTATTCTGGAAATCCTGGGTTGCACATGCGTCAGGATCCCCCCCTCGGCCTTGCTGGTGATGTCCAAAGGAGTGCGTAGCACGACGTTTGGTACCAGTTTGGCTGCAGGGGCTGCCGGGAATGTGCCGCAGTGCGTCACAAAACCGCCTGAGGGGCCCCACTCCTGATTTTCTGTCGGGGTTTACTCCCTTAGCCATTGACTCTCCCGAGACACTCACAAGGCAGTGAGAAAACCGTGTAACCCTGAGAGGGGCCCTTGCCAGGTACTGACAGCCGGGCCAGCTGTGCCTGGGACTCGCGTAAGGCAGGGTCGTCACACCCTGAGGTAGTTTATCACAAACTACCCGCTACCTTAATACATGCAGCTAAAACACACCAAACACGTACATTTTTCACTGTGCGATGTCCTCTTCTCCCCACCACACCCCAATTATACCCCAATGCGTCCTGAAACTACTATAGAGCCCCTACATATCATTATAGCGCTTACATCACATTATTTTCGCGTTTCCGGGGGGACTGGCCCAGACCCCAGCCTGCCAAGGTCAACCTCGGCGAGCTGGGAAATCTAGGCGAGTCCGGGGGCTCTGCATGCGACTAGGCCTCACCCCGGCACTCTGTTTGCTTTCTACTTTGTGCTATACATTCCATATATACTGCTATACAGTCAGCATGTACTACTGTAGTGCTAGCAGGTTCCACCACAGCCACTATGCACTGCTGTCATCATACCAGGTACCACCACTGTCGCTTGGCTTGCTCTAAACATAGCAGCTTACACCACAGTATGCATGCACTGCTGTAGGGAAAGCAGGTACCACCACACTTTGCACTGCTGTAATCATTGCAGGGACCACCACAGTCACTATACACTGCTGTAGTTAAAGCATGTACCAAGGTCCGTATGCACTGCAGTAGCTAAAGCAGGTACCACCACAGTATGCACTGCTGTATTAATAGCAGGTTACACCAGAGTCACTAGCCACTGCTGTAGTGATACCACGAACCACCACAGTCTGTTTGCACTGCTGTAGTTTAAGCAGGTACCACCACTGTCCGTGTGCACTGCTGTAGTGATACTGCATACCGTCGATGTGTGTGTGTGCGTAAGTCCATGTGTGTGTTAGTCAATGTGTGTGTGTAGACAACTACTATTTTTTAATTCAGTTACTTCTTTTCACAATAATAATGCCTGTGTCTAAGTCCATGTGTGCGTGTGGATCGATGTGCATGTCTGTGTCGATGTGTGTGTGTGTGAGTCGATGTGTTTGTGTGTGAGTCGATATGTCTGTGTGTTTGTGTCAGTCGATGTGCGTGTGTACTAGTCGCTGTGTGTGGGACGCTCCATGTGAGTCAGTGTAAGTCCATTTCTTTATGTGTGTGTGTGTTTTGGTCCACGTGTGCGTGCCTCTATGTGCGTGTGATAGTACATGTATGTTTGTGTGAGAGTCTATGTGTGTCAGTCCATGTGTGTACGGCAATGTGTTTATGTGTGTGAGAGTCCATGTGTGTGTGTGTGTGCGTCGATATGTGTGTGTAAGTTAATATGTCTGTGCTTGTAAGTCGATGTGTTTCTATGTGTGTGGGTCGATGTCTGTGTATAAGTCTACGTGTGTGTCTGCCTTTTTCACCTGGGCAACACCGGGTACTTACCGCTAGTAATGCTATAATATAGATTTGAAAAAAATGGCGGGTTTTTTTTCAAATTTTCTTGCTGTGGGTTTCACACCTGATGATGATTGCATGTGTTGCAGTCAAAACGTCGTGAGAATTTTAATGTTTTATATTTTTATTATTTTATTGTTTCCCTTCTACGTGACATTACCGAAAGAACCAAGAATACCTACAAATTATCCAATAAGGTAATTTGAAAATGACACGTAGCAATTTTCGCCCCCTAATGACAGACAACGACCATTTAATGTGTAGGCTGTCGCAGCCAATATCATCCATAATAGAGGTTTTTTTGGTTAGATCTCATAAATATAAATGTGTCGTTAAACCCGCCACCACCAGACACATCCAATTAGTAAGGTTTGTCATGTAAACAAACATGGCTATCGCCTGATGAAGATAGTTGTAATTATTCGTGAAATATTGTACTCTGATTGTAAATGTTGTGGATTTGCTCTCCAACACACCGGTGTTCTGTACTAGTGTAGAGGAGTAATATGGGGACGTGACATCATGCGCGCTGTCCAGTGCGATGACATCATGGGACGTGACGTCATGCACGCTGGGCGGGGCGATGACGTTATGCCTCCTCTGGGTACTTAAGGGGGACCCCGTGATGAAAGCGGGGTCACTGTGGGAGCCCGGGATAGAGAACGGTCAAAGAGCCAAGCCAGGGGTAGAGCTCAAGGAGTCTGGAGAGAAGCCTGCGGTAGTCATAAGAGGTGCTACTCTCCCCGGTCAGTCGGTGTTGGCTGAACCCCCGATCCGATTTGAGGGAGAGAGCCCTGGAGCTAGCCGAGCTAGGAACAGACAGTGCGGGGTCGAGTGAAGGACCCAGTATAGGACCCCTACCCCTGGGGAGTTTTCTAAACCCTTAATAAATATCCGGCGCAAGCCCTTACATGAAGATCTGCCTCCGAGTCATCATTTGTACCTCAACACTAGTAACGACTTGGCATCTTCTGTTTACGTGACATGCCTTACTAATTGGCTGTGTTGGGTTGTGGCGGGTTTAGCGACGCATTTATATCTACGCGATCTAACCCAAAAACCTAAATTATGTAAGACTAACGACCAGGTCCAGTGCTGCCATCACCTCGTGCCCATAGGAACAGCTGCCACTGGGTGTGCTCTTTCAAACGTTTGAGATCAGACGTGATGCAAAGCACTTTGAAACATCTCGATGGAATAGGGCACCATATAAAAAAGCATTACCCTTCGCCATTGCAACTCAATCCTCGTTTGATCTCCATAAAAGTAATTGACAGAAAATACAACAGCTGTTTGCACAACATATCAACCCACATTGCTGCTGGCGCCCCGTAATCCTCGGCTCGGATTCTCTCGTGAGAGGCAGAGACAGGGCTGGCCCCGTGGGTGCCTTGTGCAAGGTTTGCAGAGGGCACACTTTTTTTTTTCTAAGACCAGCCCTGAGGGGAAACCCACAAAATAAATCTGTCTATGCCTGAATTCCTTCCGTACATGGTGCCAACTGCTGCTGAAAAATAAACCTCGGGAAAGTGGGGCCACCTCGACCCAGCTCGCAACACAAATTCCATCTGTGGTGAAGAGCAGTTGATGTCATGTCTACTCAAGTGTCACGTGTATCGAGCAACTGTGGACAGCTGATGATTTCAGCACCCTTACTAACCACGCGTCCATAAATGGTTTTCGTTAATCTAAGTTGGAATAATGACCACGCAACGACGATGAGTGTGGTATATTCCCAACTACGATGGGCTAGCAAAATTTGAGCAATTAAATAGACATCATCATTGCGTTTCTCAATTTTGTTCCAATAAATTTCCCAACATGGTTATGTGTAATTATAAATAGCGGAAGATAGTCTCGGTGACGATTGTTGCGTGTGATAGTGGGAGTGAGTGTGGAATTCAAGTGTATATTCTACAGGGCAGAGGAGTAAACTCACAAACATCTCTATTCACAGGTACAGGTGTGCTGGGCTGATGGAGCTGAACGTAACAGAGGCCATGCAGATGACTCCTCCAGGGATGATCCTCATGACGGGTCTCCTGCGTGAGCCGGAGAGCACGAGGCCTCTCGTATTCACATTTGTATTTGTGATCTATGCCCTTTCCATTATTGGAAACACATTGCTGGTTCTGGCCATCTTTCGAGAGGAAGAGCTACACAAGCCCATGTACATCTTCATGTGCGGACTTTCCACGAATGCAATTGTCGTGAGCACCACCGCACTTCCAAGAATTATGTATGATCTTGTGTTCACCAATATCATTTCCTTTCCTGCTTGTGTCATACAAATGACCTTCATCCACTTGACAAGTGTTTTCGAATGCTTTATATTGGCTGCAATGGCAGCGGATCGATACGTGGCTATATGTAAACCTCTCCACTACAATTCTATCTTCACCTCCGTATTCGCCATTAAAATATGCTTCGTATTCGTTGTGACTTCATCCATAATGTTATCTGGAGAAATTGTATTGGCAAGCCTTATTAAGCTATGCAACAAGCCAAGAATTGTATGGATGCCAAATTGTGATTTTATGTCATTGACAAAGATGAGCTGTGCAGATGTAACCATCAACATTGTATATGGCTACGTTCTCACGGCTATATCAGCTGTAGCCTCATTGGTGATCATTGTGTTTTCCTACATCTGCATTCTGTATGACTGCCAGAAGTCCACCCAGCGCAGAAGTCAACATAAAGCGATCAGCACGTGCGTTACTCACTTCTTTGTTCTTATCATGTTTTATGTGTTTGTCGTCTTCATGGTCATGCATCATCGGATTGAACATTCTACACTAATTCCCATTGCAGTCCGCTCCACGCTCAGCTCATTGTATTACATCATCCCTCCAGTACTTAACCCAATTATTTATGGTCTTCGTACGACCGAGATTCGACAGAGTTTAGTGAAAATATTAAAGTATAAAATTTCATCCATTTAGCGATACTTCCAGTTATAGGTTGATAAGAAAAATGTCAGTAATCTTAAGTCTTCACCAAAAGGTGTGCTTCGTCTAATCCATAAGCTGGCGCATTGTTGAAAACGCCTTTCCTAAGATGTGCTCGTGTTATTTTTAATCGTGAGTAAGATACGTTCAGCCTTAAAATGTTTTTACAAGAATGACCCGATGAGGACCTTGGTGCATTTTTGTGTGACAGCAAATGAAGCATAATATTGTAGAAACTGAGTAGTAAACACATTGGAAGGAAAACGACAGCCAGTTCAGGCACCACTCAAGCGACACTGGAAGGCAGCTGATGAATTGAAGCGCTAAGTCGCAACCACATCCGCAAACCATGCATGCAGGGATTGGAGTGCATATCAAAAATAGAATACAATATTCGCGCGGGTTTCCTAACCACAAGTGCCAGAGAAGGGATATTTTAAATAAAAGAAAATATTTTTTAAAGCAAGGGAAGATAATGGAAGGAGTTGTGGATTGGTCCGACTCTCGCGAATGTGGGCACGGATAAGGGAGAGTATCCACTCTGTTGTGATGATGCTAACACCTGCAAATGTTTTTTTACCAAAACAATGAGAATATATTATTGAATCGCAGAATATATACGACAGGGCGTCTCAGAGCCCGTTACACATCTAATCACAAATATTTTAAAAGGCACCTCCAGTTGCAGCTGTCCCTGTGGGCAAAAGATAAATCAGCAGCACCTGGTCTTCAAATTCGTGTGCCAGTAGGGTGTGACGATGGAAATGTATAATCCTGATTGAGTAATTCAAGAGTACATTTCGAATGTGGCAAAATTAAAGGTGACACGTGACTTGGAAGCTTGATATTTCCCCCCATAATTGACAAATGTGCATGATCCATGTGAAACGACACGAACGACGAACAACTAACAGCCTCTTTCCAATGGCACAGCAACAATAGTAGGTCCGGGCTTCGTGCTTGTTCTTGAAGCTCGTCCATTCTGTCGAACCTCCGTTCCCCTTGTGCTCTGCCCTTTTATATCATTCGAGCCCCTCTTTTCGAATGTTCCCACACTGTTTGTCTCCTAGTCAATCCCTGTTCTTCTCCTCTTACGGATCCTAAACATCGCCTCTAGGTTCCACTTTGTTTCCCACCTATTCTCGTTCAAAACTTTTTCCTCCAATAATTTCACAAGCCTGCCTCTCGAACAATTACTGTGGAGGCCTCTTTCTGCCAATCGGAGACCTTGGCCTACTTTTGAATAACTATTAGGCTGCACATTTTCTTGGTTTGAGTTTTTATGAATTTCAGTCATTACATAACCCCCCTCCTCCCACCCTTTGAAAAGAACGAGCCGTCCCGGCTAACTTCAGGGAGGAATGACTGACCTACAGAGCACGGGGAGGCAAGGGGAATTACAACCCAGAACGCGGTGATACCATATATAACATTTCTGTGCCGACAGTGTGGCAATAAACAATGTGTGAATAACAATGTGTGGTGTGGATAATTTTCGCAGCACAGACATTGCATCTCCTACAATTAGGAACAATAACGACAATAGTATTATGGAAAAAGGGGTGCAACGGTCTTTTGTGCTGACCAGTCCATTGTCAGCACCATCGTGTGCATTTAGCGCAAGTTCTTGTCGCCTGATCGGCATCTGCTGCAGGGTCTCACTCTGTCCCGTGCTGGGTCACACTCAGCTCTGTGGGCGGCACAGAGTCATGTACTTGTGATCCAGGTGCCAGCAGCTTGTCGGATACCTCAGACTCCAGCAAAACAGGGCATGAGATGCTCGGGTGATGATGGGAATACGGTTTTCGGCGCTATGGGTGAATGTACCAATAACGAAGTCCCTATTGTACATGTGTAGTGAATCACTTAGAGACACTAATAGTAGGGGGTACTATATTTATTATAGCCTTCACAGGCACAAGGAATAGCTACACTATGGTCAGGACAGCTAACAGGCTGCCTGGCCAACAACGCTGAGGAGGTGAAGACGGTGATGAAGACTCCTAGCAGCACGACAGTTCCCCTCCAACAACAGCCCCGAACCCTTGCTCGGGGTTCAGCATTTATTCACCTAGCGTGGCCTCGTTCTGCTTTTGGCGACGTGCCCCTTCTGGAACCCACTAGAAGGTTCCCGGGCTTTACCACACGTTCCCCCTCTATCCCCCTTGCCTCATGTTCCTCTCTCCAGCTCATCACATACTGCTGGCCGACAGGGCTACTATACCTGCCGATCCCCCTGTGCCAGCAACCAGCACTATGCGCCACAGTGACCCATTCTATGCTACACGGAATGACGAAAATTAATGAGGACTGGAGAAAGGCCTTAGGATGGCGGCGTCAGCGGAGCAGCGGCAACAGCGGCGCGAGTAGCGAGAGTGGGGGGCAGAGAGTGGGGGCAGCGAGTGTGGGGCAGAGACTGAGAGAGACAGGGAGAGAGTGGGGGGCAGCAGCAGACCTTGACAAACAAATTGAGTTGGGGAGATTACAAGCCATGGTCACACAGAACATTGATACTAACACAATCCACCTTAAAATGACGATGCCCTTGCCCGTTACCCGACCCCACAGACACGAACATTAATAAACCGAGGAAGGGCCGTTGAATTGAAATTAAAATTAATGAGACACAGACAGAGCGCAGCACACAGCAAACTGTAGGGTTGACTAAACGCAGAGCCAGGGTCGCCGAGAGTTCGCGTTAGCCACAGACATAGTTAAATTTCGATGTAAAGCTTTCGTGACTGCAATGATTCATCTTCTTTGGTTTTTTCGGTTAAGTCACGTAGAATGAGAATAAAATAATAAATTGATAAAATAAAATAACACAATAATATTCTCACGACGTTTCGGCCACAACACAAGCGGCCTTCATCAGGTGAAGGGACGAGACTGTCTGGTAGGACAGCGCTGGAGTGAAAGAGCCACCTTCAGATCACGACCTTTAAGCTGTGTGAGAGGAAACAAAGCGCCTTGACAAAGGAATTAGCATATAATTTAGCATTGAAATGGCTGAGTGATTAGCTTGTGACTGGTCACACAAATAGCTATGTTAAAAGTTAAGCATACACATCCGCAGAGGCACCCCTTGATATAGCTATTTCTGTGACCAGTCACAAGCTAAGGGGTACCTCTGCGGATGTGTATACTTTAACTTAGCTATTTCAATGAGCCATTTCAATGCTAAATTATATGCTAATTCCTTTGTCAAGGCGCTTTGTTTCCTCTCACACAGCTTAAAGGTCGTGATCTGAACGTGGCTCTTTCACTCCAGCGCTGTCCTACCAGACAGTCTCGTCCCTTCAACTGATGAAGGCCGCTTGTGTTGTGGCCGAAACGTCGTGAGAATATTATGGTGTTATTTCATTTTATCAATTTATTATTTTATTCTCATTCTACGTGACTTTACCGAAAGAACCAAAGAAGAGACATAGTTAAGTCAAGAAGCTCAACTATTTATCCTGCATTGCTTTTAAAGTAACGTTAAAGTTCGAAATTCAACAACAGGAGAAGGCTAAAATTATCGATCCTCACGCTCGCTCCAATTGGAGACCAGGCTGCGAGCTACATCAATGAACCATTGCCCATTTATGAATTCAATACTGAATGTTTAGTAGTTTTTAGTAGTTTCTGCACAACCTGACCGAAGCGTATGACAATCAGAATTTTTCCTAAGTCAAAGCGAATTCTCTAACCTCAGGACATAAGCAAATAATAATGCAATGTTAATTCAAAGGTTAGAGAGGGAAAAACACATAAGCCAGAGCAGCCCTGAAGTAAGGGCGGGAGAGGCACCTGCGGGTGCCCGTGTGAAGCTGACCTCGGCACGCCAAAGATAAGAGCAACAGACGGAGAGAAAGAGAGACGCTTTGTCTCCCCGCAGCGTGAGAGAGCGGAGGAATAATCACAGGCTATCTGTATTCAAGGGAGAGCTAAATCTAATTAAGCAACGCACACACCAGGCAGAGAGGAGTGGACGTGGGGAGAGATGCCTTGAATGCAGTGTGTGTCAGCAGGACCCCAGGCAACAAGTTTAAGTTAAAGAAATCACAGTACATAATTCATACATAACATTAATGTTAAAGCTAAATAATACTTGAGCGATGTTAAACTGGGGGCCAGGGAAAAAGAGAGTCTCCAGGCCGCCTTTGTCTTCCTGCAGCACATGATAAGAATATGCATACGCTCAAGAGAGCACCTTTCCTTGAAATAAAATCGAACACCACGATGGAAAACTAACACAACAGACCATACAGAATCATCATTGTAAGACTATGATGGAATAAACTGATGTAATGAAATATTAACTTTAAAATCCTCAACCATTTCTTTGTGCGTCGGTGAAGGTTGCACCAGAGGGAATATCGCTCCTCCCTCCAGGTTGTGCAACACAGACAGAGACACCTGTGAGACGATTTGTAACACCTGTTGTTATGGTTTGTGGAAAGAGGAGGGCAAAAGAGCTGTGGCGTAAATGACGCACACAAGGACACACATACGAACGGACACACATACGGACACGCACTCCAGACCACGACACACAGCTAAATCAAAAGAAGCTCCGCCTTGTGGGGAGGAGCCAAGAGGAGGGATTTTGGACATAAAAGAGGACACTACAGCATTGAAACCTCAACTCATCAGCAAGGAGCTCACCAGCAAGCGGGCATGACCCGCTTGCCAGCTCAGAGCTCGGCTCATCGGGGGAGCTCGCAGGGGGAGCTCAGCTCACCAGCAAGCGGGCAAGACCCGCTTGCCAGCTCAACTCAGCTCATCAAGGGAGCTCATCAGCTTGCCAGCTCAACTCATTCCTGCAGGAGATCGGCCGCCGCCGACGCAGATGAGGTCCCTGCCGGCCGCCATAATGGCAAGACTCGCTGTTTAGCGACGGGGCTACTCGGTGCGAGTCGGCACCATCAAAAGTAGCATCGCAACGAACGTGTATCGCCCGCGCCCGGTAGGGCAACCGGTGGTCAATACTCAGCGACACGATCATGCCAGCGACCAGCAGACGAGCGCCATCTACCGATCATACAACCGTGCCCGCAAAGAGCGGAACGTGGGCAAGCTGCCAAGCCGACGGCACTACCGTGCATGCTACAAGCGAGCTGTGTGCGCCATCTACCGACGGGCCATCACAACTACAACAGCGTGTCGGCTCGCCAACTTACGTCAGCCGAACCGAATCAACCACAGTGACAGAAGAATCGACTGATACATATGA